TGACTAGCTGCATATCCTTTAATTATCCTATCACTTCAAAATTAGGGTAACATAATTAACAGTACAATACCTGTACTTGAATGGTGATGTTGTAGTTAATTTGTACTATATAATAAACGATTACTGACACGTTTCGTATTTCATTGTTCTTATCTCCGGAAGCGGTGTACTGTAAAAATGCGTTTCCGTTACTGAAAACACAGTGCAGAACGTAGGCACGTGTACTCTGTACGTAAAATGGTTACAGACGGACTTGTATAATTTCTTGTAACTCAAAGTCGGTAAATGCGAAGGTGATTAAATAAATAAATTACACTTTTGGACATAAAACACCTTAAAAACTTGGTTTTATTTAATGGCGACGTTTCGAGCAAACGCTCTTTTTCAAGCCAGAACACGGATAGTGACGAACTACTACAAAATGTTCTGAAAGTGAACAATACACGAGGAAAGAATGTAACGCGTGTTAAAAACACGAGAAATAAACAATATAGTGTTGACAATGTAACAAGGCTAAAGAAAATAGTCACGAGATAATGAAGGAAGTATATAATTAAACGGTTAATATCGGAAAGTTTAAAAAAAAAACTATTAAAAATCATTTAAAAAGAAAGAAAGAAAATTAATGTTAAAATTTATAAAAAAACAACTGAAACGTTCGTTGATACCAGAGGGACTTGTACAGCCTAATTTGAAAATGTGTTCACAGTAGTTACAACTAATACAATAAATTAAACATTCAGATGCACGTGTAAAATAGCTATTAACAGTATAGGCTGACTTGGGGTCCTTAACAGATGGTCGATGTAAGGGCAAGTGTTGTATCTGCTCCTCTGGCAATTGTACGTACCGATTTCTGTGTGACGTGGTTGTTGTATGTTGTACGGAAGTTGACTGTGGACGAGTATATTTTTAATGTTAGTGTCACGTTTATAAGGAATTGGGGGTTTATTAGGAAACGTGACTGGTGGTACTGTTCTGTGTTAAGATGTGTAAGTTGTCAAGCAACACACAAGTTAGTTGTGTGTTAAATGGGTGATACGTATGTGTAAGGGGGAATGCTTTTATGATCGGTGGCAGGGTTTATTTTAACGTGCAATAGACCCCTACTTGTGCAGTTCTAAATCTAATTTTGTGCAGTACTAAAATTTATAATAAAAACTCCAATGTCATATAAAGAAACAAGAAGCCAATGCATGGACCATGATACTGAAAATCAAAAGTACCTTTATTTACTGTTTATATGACAAGAAGTATATTTTTAATTTTACATATGCTGATTAGAACTTTGTTTTACAATTTTTGTCAGATACCAAGATGGTTAAAACTTAAAACACTGTGTTTATATGACAATAAATATATTTTTAGTCTTACATGTGTTGAATAGTACTTTAGTTTACATTTTGTGTCAAATACTACATGAGCTTACATGTTAAAGGATGGTTAAAAGATTTAAAACAATCGTAAATGCAAATCCGGATTCTAGCGTTATAAGTCCGCAGACATGCCGCTGTGCCACTGGGGGGGGGGGGCTAATTATTATATACATTTGTATAATTATATATTTCCTTCAATATCTCGTCACTATTTTCTTTAGCCTTGTTACATTGTCAACACTATATTGTTTATTTCTCGTGTATTGTTCACTTTCAGAACATTCTGCAGTAGTTCGTCACTATCCGTGTTCTGTTTTATTTATATTAGTTTATAACTTTCATAATAAGTTCAGGGAATGTTAGAATATGTCGAATGGCAAAGCACGTACAGCTTCTGAAAAACATAAGTTTCTCTCTCTCTCTCAATTAAGTAAAGTCGTCGGTTTCATTTTGATTTATGCCTGTTCACTCTGGTTAGGGCACTCGACTCGCACGTGCGGGTCGCGTGTTCGAGTCATGTCACCAAACGTGATCGCCCTTTCGACCTTGGGAGTATAATAATGTAACAGTCAATCCCACCTTTCGTTGATAAAAGAGTAGCCCAACAGTTGGCGGTGTGTGGTGTTGACTAGCTGCCTTTTCATCTAGTCTATCACTTCTAAGTTTTGGACGGCTAAAGCAGATAGCCTCGGAAGAGGTTGGCGCGAAATTCAACAAACAAATAAGCATTTTCATTCCCCCATCCTCTCGTTTTCAATTTGCAGGGTATAAATAAAGGACTTGCAACACTAAAATTCAGGGTAGGTACCCCATAGTGCAGCTTTGCGTTTAAACAATACAAAAAAGGGGGAGATTACTAGGGGGAAGGCAAGGGGAAGCAGTTTTTCTCCACTTTTTTTTTTCTGTGAGATACAGTATATACACACG